ACGCGTTACAACCGGCCGGCAAAAATTTATTTACAACGCGTACAGTGCGTTTCGGCATTAATATCGGAAGTGGGATTTGCATATCGTAAATTTCGTCGGGAGAGTCGCGTAACAAAATAATAAATTTCCGGTCGCGATTACAATTGCATATTACTCTATCGGGCTCGCGGCGCACGTGGCGACGTATAAAGGCTATTGCGAGCGAGCGTGTTGTCAGCGAGAGAGAGAGAGAGAGAGAGAGAGAGAGCGACTCGCCAAAGTATCGATTTATAAAGACGGCTCCGGGCGGATCTTTTCACCCGTCGCTACGTGCGCGGTCCATTCAGCCGCGTCATCGCCAAAACTCCCGTCGCCGAGGCCATCACGCGCGCGTCGGTCGCGCGCGAAAGGAGCATCGCCGTTTCCTGGGTTGGTCAGCCTCTCGTCTACCTTCGCTATTTTCGCCAACAGCGCAATGGGAATAAAACGACGTCGGACGAATAAAGCTCCACGGGAGGGAGGGCCTCATATTGGCCCGACAAATAACGTGCGTATTCGATACACGTAGGAACGTTACGGTAATAAAAGGAGGTAATAACTTGGACGCACGCGCGCGCACGCTCGTGCACGAATGTATCCGTTTCGTATACGCGGCCGTTCCTCGCTCTCACACCATTGACTCGTCTTCTTGCGCCAACGCGGCCAACTTGTCCCAACGTGGATCTAATGCGTCGCGATCCACGGGGGTTTCACGGTAGATAAAAATAAGCGCCCGGACGCGGACGCGATTTAATATCTCGCAGCGCTTTATCCAAGCGAGCGAGCGAGCGAGAGAGAGAGAGAGAGAGAGAGAGGGAGGGAGAAAGAGAGAGAGAGGGAGAGAGGGAGAGAGAGAGAGAGAGAGAGAGAGAGAGAGCGCCTCCCGGGGGAGTTTTATCGTAACGACGATGCATCACGAGCACGTATATAGCTGGATAGAAAGTGCGGGGTCGTTAATTTAACCGGCCGATTGTATACGTAAATCCGCTTTACACGAAGATAATAGATTGGCGATGTAACTACAGCCAAAGATCCGCGGCAGCGGCGGCGCGTGTGAATAACGCGAGCGGATCGCGCGCGCACGTCGAGGATGATTTAATCAGACTCTCGATGATTTCGGCCGAGATCGACGCGGCGGTTAATGGTCGAGCCGCGGTCGGCCATTGGGGGATGAATCGAGATTATATCTGACGTCGGGGCGCGCACACGATTCTCGGCGCTACGTCTCCGGCCGGTCGTTCATTGTCTTTCACAATACACGATTCCGATCTCTCGCGGTGTTAGCTGTCGGCCGCACGCCGCTAGGCGACCCGTCAATGCTTAAAAGATCCGCGGGCCTTCGGGAAGGAGGTTAAGGGTCATTAGGCACGTGAAGGCGTGACTCGCGTATTCCGGGGCCGTAATACGGCGGACACGGCGATCACGCAGCCGCACTCGATGCAACGGGACGTACATTCATCCGTTCCCGGTTGCCGAGCCGTCACGACGAGCCAGGATAATGTCCGGATTCATATTCCCACGTGGTTCCCGGATCATGCGGATCCGCCCGGCCATTATCGGCAAATCCGCCTATCGAAAATGTGATAGCCGACTTTCGCGCCGCGCCGCGCCACGCCGCGCACAATGCATTTACGAACGTTCTTCGCACATCTTGTCACGGCTGGCATGAGTTATAGAGCCGTGAGAGTCAATCGAGCGAACTTAAAGTACAGAAAAGGAATAGTTGTCGCCGGCCATAGGGTCGGCTCGTGCTTCTAGCGTCTCTAATGGCACGGAAGGACGTTATAACGAAAGAGGAATTTCGCGCGAGTTCAAAGATCTCGGCGACGAGAGATTTACTAGCTCCACGTGACTGGAATGCCGCGCGCCATCGTGCAATTTTCCTTTTGCTCTTCCTCCTGTCCTCTTTTTTTTTTCGGCACGAAATATCGGCGCGAACACGGCCGCGGGAGATATCTCTCTCTCTCTCTCTCTCTCTCTCTCTCTCTCTCTCTCTCTCTCGACGTGGCAAAATTGTCTCGATACTTCAAAGGAGTTATTATGCAGATAGCACTCGTGCGCGCCGGCGAACGCCGAGGCGCAGGCAGAGGCGAAACGACCCTGCGCGCGACGTAATAATACAAAATTCAGAATTTCCGTCTCTCCGCTCGCACCCTTCGCGCGTCGGCATTCCGTAGCAGCGGTGGAATAAGGGCTATTTCAATTGTGGCGCGCTCAAACCGCCGGCAATTACCGTTAGAATTACACGATACTTACTGGAGCGCCGAAATTCTGCATTGCAGCGGGTTCCATTATTTCCAGGCGTCGCCGGCTACAAGGTGAGAGAGTGTTGCTGCGCGTTCATTGTGAACCGAACATAATACTGGCGACTCTTCAAAACCACCTGCGCGCGCGGCGTGCTGGATTTGCTCAGGTGTACGTGTCGACACACGGCACACGCGCGCGTGTTGCTGCACCTTGAAAAGAATCGTTCGCCCGCGCTCGATTGTTTATCTCGTGCCACCTAATTCGACGCTGTCTCTATTTCGGTGCCGCGTACCGCGATTATGCATCGCATCGATGAAAATACCCATGGTGTGTCTCACGCTCTCATTCGGGACAAAGTTACAACAGAGGTAAAAGTATTATAAAATTCACGCTAAATGATTAGAGAAACTTGCATAAGCCGGAAAGTTATTGTGACGCATGTGACTTTAAATAGACTTAAAATTCTGCGCAATTGGATTATCAGGATTTTTTTCGCGCCCGATATTATTTTATTCACTCAAAAAAGTATTCTATTTGTAAAGTGATTTTTTCCATAATCTCATATTCTAAGCGAAGCCTATTGCAGAAAAAGAATCCCTCTTTCGGTAAAGCGATGAAAGAGAGCCACTCATCTTTATTAGATATTATTCTAACTGTTTTCCTCTTGTTTCAAGAGAATTCCGTCTTATATCAATTAATTTTCCTCTGCCATATGCTCATGGGTCAGAATATTTAGAACGCTTTTTAAAACAGATATGTATGTTGCTCTAACATATAACGAAGATAATTTGCTCATATTTGGTCAAATACAGTTTGAATACAGTTTGAGTCAAATATAGTTTGAATCTATTGCAAGAAGTTAAATAATATATTCTTTCTTTCAACTATTTTTCACAAAATTGGTTATGATGAACATCTTTGTTATATAATAGCTATAAAGTCCGTAACAAAACTGATTGGAAATTTATTTGTTATGATGATCTTACTTCATTCGTGCCTACTTATTGTAGAACTGAAGCCAGAAGCATCTATATATATCTATATATGCATATAAGTGCATCTATATATATATATATATTACTTTTCGCTATACATAATAATAATTTTTTCAAATTAACCAATATAATCAGTAAGAATAAAGTACAGTAAAAATAGATAATAATCCGTTAAAAAAAAATTAAATAATCTGTGTATAAGAAGAAATTTATATTAAAATCAATAAGATTTGCATTATACATATAACATATAATCCCTCTAACTTTAAGAATAATATATTTATAATATTTTCTTCTTAATCTTAGAGGAATCCTTTTGAGACCATATATAAAAATAAAATTCTCTAAAATTTATATGATTCCGCTTATTCTGAAATTACTTTTTTGGGGGTATTGTTTACTAATTATTCAAAGTAGAGGGAACGATCCTGTCGAAACGGTACATTTGCAGCACAATGGTGGCTCTTTGTTGTTGATGTCTCGAAAAGAACCCATTAATATGATTAGAAAATACTAATAACCTTGCAGCGAACGTTAAGGCTATTATGCCGGTCTATGTACAAAGGCGAATGCGATTAACAGCCTTAAACGGTAATTCTCTCTTCGGTGAGCCAACTTTTCTCACCGCGTTTATTCGTATGACCACGGCATATTACCCTGGTCTATCATCGCGATTACCGCGATGGCAAACACAAATTACGAGCGCACGTACTTAATGAAAATTATGGCCGCGCTATCATGTTAGTTCCGGCCGAAGTTTGTCGACCTATTCTTGCCGCGCTCGCGCGGGAGGAAGGGCCATCTGTAAATTTGCTGTAGCCCGGTCGACGAGACCGCAATTTTGGCCGGACAACCATAATTAAACGAGGGAAAACTGGATAATTGATTAGGTGTGGGTAGCTTAGGATCGCCAATATTGGCAATGACCGGATACCGGTGCATAAATCAAACGTACGTATACCGGCTATATATGTATATAAACATACACTTTATTATGATAATTTATAATTGCCGTATTCACAATGAATATGAGTAATAATAACGTATCGTAATTAGATATACAAACTGGTCTATTGGATAGTAACCTAGACTAATCAATCGCGGCTAATTATACACGGCCCACGTACAACCTTCGATACGGGACTTCCGTAACGGTGACGCGAATTGTTTTCAATTTTGTATCTTCTTGATGTTTTTTTCTGCTCTTTCGTTCGCTAGCGAGCAAATCGACGCGATGCTAAATGCTCTCGTCGAAATATTCTGCCGTCAGTCTCGTGCGCACGATGATAACGCTGATCAACGGTCGGACTTGCCGCTGATCGGCCGCAGACGCGCTCTTGAGAAACACATCGCCACGTATGGTGAAGAGGGAAATGAATCGAATCCCATAATACAGTCGCTGGAGTTTACTCGCATGAAAAATACGGGGTCTCAATTCCTGCAGCTGTACGAATCGGAAATCATACTCGGCTGGTGTTATACGTGTCCGATCATTCTCAATGTTCGATCATTACGTAATATCACAAAATTGTCTTCACTAATATAGCAGAATAGACGTTATCTGTCACGAATAATGTAATTCGTCATATGCGCAGCTATATGCTATACCTCGAGGAATTTATGAATGAAACGTGGGTGGTGCGCTAAGTGGTTGCTTATCTCATCGTTAAAACTGGGGAAACGTCTAAGGCTTAAATGTACGAAAAATAGAATGCCAGCTCACTTCCGTATATTATATTAAACGCATTAGCTTCCATTATTTTGTATCTTACCTTAATTAATGAGCAACTCCTACGATCTCCTATTTTAATAACTCCATCCGCATGGTTCCGAGGGGAAGCTTGATTTTTCCGCTCTTACAAACGATGATAATGTGCGTGCATGAAATTTACGCGATTCTGATTAACGCTGGGCGCACGAGTAATATGTGATTTCGTTATATACACAAGCTTTATTAATTGAGTTCAACTGAGATGCTCTTCCAATTTAAACGGCCGTCAAGTTGAGCTAATAGGAGATAATACATGTTTGATAATTTGATATAATTTGCACATTAGAATAGGTAAAAAATATACGTTATTTCTCTCAAAAGTCACTTGAATGCAATCGAGATCGTGAGTAATTGAGAGTCAAACGTATCTTGTTCAACGATAGCCACTTTATTCAACGTTCAGCACGTCGGGACGAAATGTCAGAATAAAAATGTTGGAGCTGCGGACGCCAAGCGCGCAGCAGAGTTGCACAAAGAAAGACACTGTAACCGAAAGTGTAACTTCATACATATGGATGCATTGCCATTTCCATACACCATTATAGTCTAGGTCTCATTCGCGTTTCGTTGCATTTCTTCCATTATCCGCGGCAATTCGCGAAAGTACCATCTGGCCATTGCAATCGGATAGCCAAAATTTATTTATTCGGGCTTGTTAGAACGTTATCATACGACAGTGATTTTATATTAGAGAAGTTTAATAAGCATCGCCAAACTTTCGATGTAACATTTCTGTATACAAGTATGTACATTGGTCTTCTATTAAGTTTTAACAAGTTTCGCGAGTACTCGTAAAGCGACGTCCGGATAACAAAGGAAAAGAAACAAAGAAACAAAGAAGACGAAATCTCTCCATGTATGCGTCACGTCAACACTCGGACAGAAATATATCTCATTTATCTCGTCTCGGACAGTTACTAATCGCGAAAGGATCTCCCGTCTTCGTTCGCCTGTCCGAAACATCTGCGGTAATATTTTATTTAGCTCTAATAGCCCCTCGGCAATTTTATTACTCCATGTCGATGTATTATCGTACAATCTCGTCGGCAACTTCCAGTTTAATTAAAAAAGGATGAAGAAATTCGCAGCGGTGTAATTAAAACAGCGGCCGTGCAAGTTTTTATACACCGAGTGGCCGCGTCTTACACAGCCAACACAAAGTTTATAACGAAAATTTATAAGTATCGAAAGAAGTTTCGCAAAGTCTTCTTTACGACATACTCGCAGCGAAACGTTGCCATACCAAGCTCATCGAAGAATGTGTTTCTTTGAAATTGTTAATCTTCCCTCCACTCCTTCTTTTCTTTTTCCCTTTTTTTTTTTTTCATACAAAAGCCATACCAAACGCCGCAGATTAGCGGTACACTCATTATCCTAGTATTGGCACCGTATATTTACGTGCGTAAAATTGCGTGTCCACGAGAGAGGTACACAAAGAACGATCCGAGAAAGAGTATTAAAAGTATGTACAGCACTCGCGTTTCATACTTGCACTCGGCGCTACGATCATTGTCGTGGGAAAAAAATAAAGTTCGGCGCCACGATTTTGTTTGTCCTCCCCCTTTTTTCTTCCTTCTCGTTTCCTCGCGTACCACGCGACTCCCATTGTCGGCGTTAAGCGGCAGGAAAAATATAACGTATATCTCGATGAATGTGCTATGTTCGTCGATATCTCGGTGAATGAGCTGTTTGTTGACAATACATATCGAATGCTCTCAAGCGGACGCTTCGACAAAGAAATCGATTTATTTATTTTTTTTTTTTTTTTAGCGCGAATGATACAGCTAACCGGCCACGTTAAATGTTTCTCTGGGGATCATAGATTCGCTCGGTGTGCACCCGCGCCTCCCTTCACCCCGCCGTCGCGCCGAAGCTTCTTCGTCAAAATATTTCCCGAGGAAAGAGCCCCTTCGATCTCTGTTGCGGCGACGCGTTGTTTAATAAAAGACTGGTTACCTCTAATATTACGTGTAATAATGGCAGCGCCGTGTCGCTCCTCTGTCGGGACAGACATCGCAAAAACGTTGAAAGCACACACGAGATACAGCGAATATTTATAGAAACACGTCATGTACTATATGCGACTACATTACCAATTACGATTATCACGTTCCGAAACTATAAGAGAGACACGCGCCGGGACGTACACAAAGCTCGGCATCGCATCCTCGTCTTTGCGTTTAATCGACGAGCGCGAAGGACGACTCGCACACGCGGTCGTTCCGTCGCTTGACCGCTCGAATCTCCCTTGGTCCTCTCTCGTTGAAATATCCTTACTCGACAAATTCAAAAGTGGCAAAATAATTTCGTGTATAATTCAATTCTAACGTACTCCTTCATCTTCATCCTTGTCTCGCGCGCATCGGCGTTCGTCCTGACGTCAGCGCTCTGTAACGCGCTGGATCCGGTCAGTCGTTTCGGCTCTGCTCTCGCCGAGTTGTTTCCGCGAAGGATCGCACCTCGTGGTCCGACATTGATGAGACACCGCCGATGTCGCGAAGAATGCGAAGACACGTGAATTTACGTGCCTTCATCCACTTCGATATCGTGAATGACCCGTGACGGGCCGCGGCGAGCTTGCATGACCCGATTGCGCATAAACACGGCATACGAAAAATATTCAGATATTCCACTATAGTAGAACTGTCTCTCTCTCTCTCTCTCTCTCTCTCACACACACACACATACATACACACACAAAAGCCCCGTCTTCGTCACTGACGAGCGTCGGACGAGGCTCTGCGGAGCGTTCCTCCTCTTCATCTCACACGGTCCGTGATTGCCAGCTGGCGAACGAGCAGGAGGTAGACCCGTTCCCCGGTTCGCGCGGACTAAAGGGTCTCCAGTAGATTCTGAACAAGCAGGGCGGGCGCGGTCACGCGCGCCTTACCTTTTCTCGCTTGTCTGCAGGCACGCACGTTGCAACGCGGCGCCCGTTGCAGCTGTTCCGACTTGTTGCTGTCTTGTTCGAGCTGCACCGACACACTGGCTACGCGCGGCCTCGAACACCCGTTCTCCTGCAACAGACAATTGGCCGATGCTCGGGCGGAATATTGCGCGCGACCCCCGTGATTTGCCGGATTGCGCCGCGCGTATCGGCCGCGCGCGCTTTTACGTGGCTGTTCCGTGCGACTCGCTCCGCGAATGCAAACGCCGAGTGTGCGGCAAAGGATCTTCCTTCCGACGTGAAAAGACAAGAGCCGATGCTCGACGAGCGATGCTGAGTGATTAGAGGTCCGGGCCTCTGCAATCGCGAGAGAGTTAAGTAGTTAATGGCGACGATGAAGTGCGCTAATTAATTAGCGCGCCGTCGAGGCTGAATAGCGATGACGGTACTAATGGCGAATGTCAGTTTAAACGACGGAAGTCTCGAGTCTGGATCAAATGCAGTTTCAGAATTATGAAACTTTAGCGCGGAGTTTACTCGCCGGCGCACGTCATGTTTTCCGTCGTGACTGATGTTGCCCGCGCGCGCGCAACATGTAACGCGCAGACATCCATGACAATAGCCGTAGTATTCCGCTTCCTCCTGACGTGAATGAAAATTAGCGTGCGACTAAATACGAGCGATATGTATATCACGCGCGTGTGGAATCTCGCTTTTTCGATCGGCTGTACCTCTGTTGGCGCTTTTGCCGAGGAACAATTAAACTGGAAACTCCTCCCGGAGAATATCCGGGACCGAAATGAAGCTCGCGACTTTCGGGGCACCCTGTATGCAGAAATGTGTGTGCGCGCGGCGCGATTAAAAGACTTCGGACGCAATTGCTGAGATTATCGCGGGGAAATTCTCGTGACCGTTCCACGTTGCGTCATGACATTCACGTCACTCGTAAGTAGTTCACGACGACTCGTAAGTAGCTGGGCGGCGAAGATTAAGCGATTTGTGTGTGTACTTCTTTATGCGCGTATTCTCTTTGGATGGGGCGAAGGAAGGCGGGCTCTGCTTTTTTCTCCACTCGCATGACCTCGCAAACCGTACGCGGTTATCTTCAGAGTTGCCTCATAAATGTTCCAACAAAAGGGTACCCCGTACGATTATTATCAGCGCGCACGTGATAATTATAAGGGCGACTTAATCCGGGCAGAATGGTAAGAGGACAACGTGTGCCCAAGTGCGCAAGTTTTTACGACTTAAATCTTTAATGGGTGGAACGAGTCGTGCCCGAGGCAGCCAAGTCGCCGCGGGAACGAGACCGGAATGAAAAATGAGGGAAACCGAGGGAAAAGGGAGCCTACTAAAAAGCGGACTATATATATTTAATTAGAATTATGCTGATACGACGTGACCGAAGAATCTTAATCAATCTCGCGAGCGAGCTCGAAGAAAGCCCGAGTAAAGACCGGGATCGCGTGGATCGTAGCGTGGTGGCGGCGCTAAGTTTGCGGGATCATCTGCGCCGATAAGCGCGGAAAATCCGCCGCGGAGGGCCGAGGCGAATGGCGGTGACAGGAACCCGACGGAGCTCGCGACTGTCACGCGGTGCTCGCGTGTTGTCAAAATTACTAACCGATATGCAGAGGTTCCGTTGATGCTGATGAGCTCGCTGGCGAGACTCGCTTTGCAGCTCCCACGCGCGAATGTACAGATCGCCGCGGTAGATGAAGCCTCCTCGTTTCGCCCGTAACATCAAATGCCACCTGAAACAGAGAAGAAAATAAAATTCCGCATTGTTCGAGCGGCTGCTTGCCGCAGCGAGCGGCGACGGCGAATTCCGGAATATGCCGTCGCGACGCGAAAGAGACGTCTCTCTTTCGGCGACTCGCCTGTCGCGCGCGAGTTGCCTGTCGAGCTCTCGACGGCCAGCTGATGGCCGGGAGAGAGACAGGGCCGCGTTAAAATTCCCCGGCGACGGCGTGTCGCGTTTTCACGGCCATGAAGCGGCCGTCTCATCATTCAACATCCGTTCGCATCGTCCGTAAAATAAATTCGTAGGTGGCATATCCTTTTTACGCGTCACTTGCCGGCTCAGTCGCTTCCTGATCTACCTATTCCCGAGCGTCGTGTTTACGAGCCGTAAAAGAGGGAGAACAGGGCAACTTGATGGACGAGAGTGATACAAAGATGCGCGCGCGCGATCGTACATATCCGTCGATACATTTGACTCGCGAGCTCGAGCGTTGGGAATGATTTGGGCCGCACGCTCGAGAAATATCCAGCAGGAAACCTCATTCGCCGCTCCGCCACCTAATCTCCGACTAGAAATGTTGATCAGGTTCACCTAACATTAATAAGGACCTAATAGGGTGAATGAAAGGTAATCCTAAGTAAGTCAGTCCTTATAATGTCCTAGCGACAAATGAGTAAGGAAGACCTTTATAAGGTTATAATGATTGGGTCCACGTTAGGACCTTAATGTACCAACCTAGTGTATGATATAATATGGTTCAGTTGATCAGGTCCTTGTCGGGATCTTATTCATTGTACCTAATATGATTTGCATTATCAAGTATTAACAAAAACCATTAATTTTATATGTATATAATATGAATATGTGTGTGCATGTGTGTATGTGTAAAACTTTGATAGTACTGGACGTAGTATAAAAAAATATTTTTGTAATGCGCCACATATAATTAGAGACAGTTCAATTTTTATCGTATGCGTTACACGCAACGACAGTTGCCTGCAGCGGTGTGCGCACTACAGCTCTCCTCATTTGTCTCGCATTTGTCCATATATGGGCCTACAAGACAAAAGACGCTCGAGAAGCAGTTCAGTCGCCTACTCTGTGCGTGCATGTTGCGTATCTCAGTACGTGTTTATGTTGTGCGATAATTTATTGATCGTGACGAAACGTTTTACAAGTATGCTCAAGCGATCTAAGATATTATTTCATGCAAATATCTTTTTATTTGGAAATGACATGAAAGAATTTTCTGCGTGTCATTTTTTATTTCCAATGTCATTATCCAATATAGCCGTGGCGAGTAATCAGAAGCTATAATTTGAAAAAAACAGTAATAAGGATTCCATAAGGTAACTCAATAAGGACCTGACTATGAACCTTACTAAGATCCTGATATTCACGCTGCGTTACATGGACCCGATAGTGTTACCTTATTGGGACCTGATGTCCAAATGAGGTTAACCTGATCAGGACCATGGGATAAATTTCTAGTCGGGTTCGCTCGTTGAAAAAACAACTCGCGCGCGATACATCAGTCGCGCCTAGGGTGACCATATGTACTCTTTTAAGAGTATATGTACTCTTTTTAAGGTGGTAAAAAGAGTACTCTCTACTTTTTACCTATCGTACTCTTGTATGTACTCTTTTTTCGTAATGTTAATTATACTTTGTCGATATAAATGACCAGAGAGAGCAGACTTCGGTGAAATTTTTGTCACTCAGCATTTGAGCGCCGCGAGCGCCAATACCGATTATGCGTAGAGGTTCTGCGCAACTATCAAGCCACAATGCAAACGTAGAAAGAGTTTTCAGTATGATGAACGCTCAATGGACTGATGAAAGAAATAGGTTTACTGTTGATTCGGTAAAAAGTTTATTAATGATTAAATATAATTATAAAGAATTTAATTGTTCTGAATTTTACGATTATTGTCTAAACAATAAGAAATTGTTAAGCGATGTACGGAGTAGTGCAAAATATAATTATAAAATATCTTAATAATATAATAAAATATATGTGTCCGACTATTTCTCGGTTTATTTAGTACCCACTATGTTTTATTTTAAATATTGTACCTAATAATCCATTGATCATTGTCTCAGATAAAACACAAAATCATTTTGACGTCAAAATGACATAATTTTTATATTATTTGACGTCACCTTGACTTTTATATGATTTTGTGTTCTATTTACTGTACTCTTTTGGGACCGTAATTAGTACTCTTTTATACACTTTTTTTACCCGTCTTTTACTCTTTTTATGACTGGAATATCCTAGTCACCCTAGTCGCGCCGCACCTCGTTCGTCACGTTATCGCCGCGTCTGTCGATCCACTGGTTATCCAAACCACGAAGCACGAAGCGTATGTCAGGGCGAAACTCCGTGTACCTTTCCCTCGTGATAACCCCTTCGTCTCGCGCGAATTATCGTTCGCGCGCGGCGAGGCGCGCGAGGAAACGCAGCTTCGATTTTTCACGCCGCAATTACAAGCCGACAGCCGGCGCTCTCTCCAGATCGCGGGCAAATGAATCTTGCAGGATCGACGGTGAACGCTCTATTGCCTGTCCCGGCCGCACGTATTCAGTCAGCCGAGTAATCCTGATCGTTATCAAGACCGTAACATTTACGCGGACGCAGTTAGAGCAGATTCGAGGTATCGACAATACCGGCGCGTTTTCGTGCCGGTTAATCGAGCGCGTGCCTATGTATATCGAATTGCTTCAGCCCTCATCCACTATCAATGCCGATATCGATTCGAGCGCGCCAGCGACTACGTTGACGTTCGGCCGGTCCGAGCTGACTGTAATCGCGCGACGTGACTTAGCAATCTCACGTGTCTCCGAGCATATCGGGTTAGCTCGAAATCGCGCGCGATCGATGCCGCTCATCCCGCCGTGAGGTAGCAACATGCAGTTGCAGCGCGCGACATGGCTGCGCTTCGACCTGAATAATATCAAAATAAAATTCGGCGGTCGGGGGGATCAGACTGCGCCAACTGTTGAAACATCCAAGAACACTCGTGTACCGGCGCTGGCTTTTACAACAAAAACGAGAAAATCCAAACGCGTATAATTCCGATAAACTGAACTTTCCATGTTGTGCGCAAACAAACGGAAGAGGAATTTTCTGCTGCCAATGTTTACGATTAACGAGATGAAGATCTCGTCCGCTCGTATGCGCGCGCGCGCGCGCGCGCATGCGTGTGTTTACAGCATCAAGATGAGCAAACAGCGCTGAAGCAACATTGTTTATGTTTTTGCTCGACGGGTTCGGACATTAAAATGGTAACGGCATTAAAGCCGTTTCCGCAGGGGGCATTGTTAAGCCAACCACGAACCTTGTACCTCGGACGGACGTTCGCGTGAAATAAACTCTGTGGCTGTAACGAAGTGGTAACGCTCGGCTGCCACCGGTCATATCGGCCGTTTGGTGGTTCACCGATAAACCGGATGAAACACGATGTTCCATGAATTATAAAATCGCTGTTTACGACGGAAGATAGAGCCCACGCGATTGCGCGCTCGCGAGTCGCCACGCCGTGCCGGTGTAATATCGCGTCCTGCCTCGCGGAAACGATAACGGCGAAGGTTGATTTAAAATTATTGCGCGTTCTTTCCCGACGTGTCCGTTCGGTGTTGGGTGCATTTGGGGAGACGCTATTAGCGCAACGTAAACGCTATCAAAATCGTTCGCGGGACCAACAGCGCGATAACGAGTTCCACGAGCAATAACGTAGGGTCAACATTACTACGTTATAGCGGTTTAAATATCTCTTCAACTTCAACATTTCCAAGATTTATTTAAACACAATTGTCTATTACGCACATAAACAATAGTAAAATAACAAATACGATGTACCGGTGCCGTTTGGCAACCGCCCGAGCAAAAAATTGTTAGGGCCATCCTCATGAAGTATAAGGCCCCGATAAGGCTGAAAGTAGGATACCCTGAAAAGGAGTATCTCATTATTACCATATCAGCTCTCGAGATGGATCTTTTAGGGATATCTTAGATTTTACGAACTGAGGCTTTAGGATAAGGAAAACTAATGTGGGTCTTAGAAGGATCTTTTAAGGATGCTTTAGATATACAAAATCAAATTTTGTTATAGAAAATTAATAAGATCTGAAGCGTGTGATAAAATTGTCATACCGCAATTAAAAACAAATTTTATTAGTTTTATTAGTTGCCATATTCATTAGTCTCTTCCAAGGATTTTTCTAGTATTGCTTTCGTTTTGAAATGCAGCAAACTTTAATAAAAACAGTAGCAGGATTTTTATGTATAAAGAATGCTATATTTCATTATTATAAAGTATGCTATATTTTTAAAATAAAAAATTCTTGTTGTATGCTAATAAGGTTATAAAGAAATAAGGAAATTGCAGTCTAAATTTCTCAGAATGGAAAGAACGAATATTTTTACTTAAACAATGATAAAAATATTCCCTTATAAGATCCTATTAATATTATTTTATAAGGCCCTGTTGATATCGCCTCATAAAGTTCTCATAATATTGCCTCATGAGGCATCATCGTTAAACCATTTATACATCTTGTAAAGCCCTTGTCTATCTATCCCTACTAGGGCTCGATCAATCTTAAGGAGAAATAATCAAGCTCTTACCAGAGCTCTATTAATTTTTCTACTCGAGCGTGCGCAGTTCTCAGCGTTTGGGCGTTCGCGAAGCTCACAAACGCTAACGCTACGAATGCACTCTGAAGAAATAGCGTTTGTTAGCGTCACCACTTGGCTCCATGAGTACCCATGAGTACAACTAGAGTTTCCAATCCGGGGATCCGGGATCCCGGCCAAATTTTTGGTCCCAAAAATACTCCGGATTCAACATCACAAATCCCGGGATTTCGGGATTTCAAAATTTAATGCTTAGTGTCTATATAATACTTACGTTTTACAAAAATTTTACTTCAATAATTATTACTTATTACTGATGTTTCAGAGCATTTGCTAGAGAAATGTGTATTTATATTTTAAATTGAATTCCATGTATTATTTTTATTTGTTTTAAATATTAAGGGTGTTTTCTATTTTAAATTTCGCGGATAAACTGGCGCAACACAGACTCGAATCCGGGATCCTCGATCAGATATCTTTTAACAAAATTTATGTTTTATTATTTTTAAAGCCGCTTTTTCAAATATGAAAAAGAAGAGATAATTATTTTTATTTTTATTACAAAAACTTTAATTTTTAATTGTAACGGTTTTTGTGCAATCATTAATGTAAGTTGTTTTCATTTTTACTGAAATTTTATTTCTTGTTTGTCATAATGTTCATAAAAGTCTATGAACGTTCTATAAATAAAATAATTCTATTATTTGTAAATATTCCTTGTTTCTTTCTTTACATATATATAATCCCGGTATTAGTCCCGGGATGGAATCCAAAAAATCCCGAAATCCCGGGATCCTAAATTGTATCCGGGATTGGAAACTCTACCTGCAACGCTAAACAGCGCTAACAACGTCCCTCTCTGCACGTTGTGTTGTCGCGTGGGTCGCGCGAACTGCGATCGCGGCTCGTTTGCCGCTCCGCAACGCAACGCGACGGGGCCGTGACGATACATCATATTATTGTTCGCGATCGTCGACGGAAACGACGACACGAACCGCCCCTTTCATCCCGCGCTTATCGCGTGTGTTAAATTTCCGAGGAGAAAAAAACAAATATTTTGGTGAGCGCGCGCGCGCGCGCGCTGCATTCCGCCGGCCGCCGAATCTGCAGGAATACAGGTAGCGCCGGTAAATTCTCGATTTATCAGCTCGTCGAGCGCTTAACGCAACGGCGGCGACGTTATCGCGCCCGTGGCATTATCCCCCGCGCAGTGGCTTTTCTCTGAATTTATATGTTCGATAGGGGAAAAAGAGCGTGCGAGGGAAATGGCGGCTCGACACCGGCTCCGCACCGTAACCATTCGAGCCATTCGATCGACTTTCGCGTTGACCTTTATTTCAGATGTTACTTTAGACGAGCGATTTTGCGCGCGCACGCAGCGAGCACCAGTCCGTTTTATTCAGGCGGAAATTGCGGGCACGCGCTCGATAGTATCGATACACGAAATTTTACGATCTTTCAACGCTAATTAATATGCCAATAAATATTTATCTCGATGCACGCTTTTAAAATTACTCAAATCGGCACGATTTAATGATAGGAAAACAAGCAAGTTCCGTCGATAAACGCGAGCTTCGTATTCCAAAATTATTTTCATGCGGGCGCATACTTTCGACGCTCGCCGCGCGTGACTCCGCATTTTGCAGTAAATTAGCCAATGTTTCGGAAATTGGACATTTGGACGATCCTTTAAATGAAATGGAAACGCAGTGGACGGAAAACATTAATGAAACAATTTCACATGCGATGATCAAACGGTTAGCACAGCCGCGGAGAAAATGCGCTATTGCACTTCTAAAACATGACAATAATCGACGGCATTTTCAGCGGCCGTTATTTCTCCTAGCGGGGCTCTCTGCCCCTTCTCCTCTCTTTTTCTCTCTCTCTTTCTCTTTATCGGGTAACGGACACGATTTTAATTGAATTCTCCGCTGTTAATCGGACCATAAAAAGCCATTGACTGCACTTAAGCCAAATAATTCATAAACAACCGGGAGTTTCGATATACCTGATTATTTATTAGCCATTGTTGGCCAAAATCGTTTTCCGCATAAGAGCAAAATCATGTTGATCTCATTATCGAATTAACGTGGAGAGACTGCGTAGGACACTACGCAGTCGTATCGACCGCGAAAATAATTAAATATGCGTACTCTCGTCGGCGCGAGACTCGCAGACGCGTACGGCAACACAATGAATGAATACAGAAATGTGACACCGAGAGGAGAAACGATTATATAGCCGGCGGCTCCATCTCTCATCTTTTCTACAATGTTCACCGCTAAGCACGAACGCCCTATGGAGCATAGTTCCATTGTTAACGACAATGTAGTGGAAAGAGTTTCGTCAATGGCTGAGAAAATTGCGTCTGGAGAATACCGAGGTCTTATCTCAACAAGAAACTATAGCTCGTCTCGATAACGCGGCGTGGCATAATTCATGAGACATAATAGAATACCCTTTCGCCCAATTCCTTTATATCATCTTCGTCACGCTTTCTCCGTCACCACTTGGACAGACTCTTGTCTATTCCTCGCCCCCTCCCCCCCGTTCCCTCGTCAAAATCGCTCTGTCGAATTGTCACGAATAATGCAAATATCGAAACCGCCTCGGCTCCGTGCACGTATTCTCATCATTTGTTCAACTGCTCGCGAACACGTTACACGCCCCGAAGAGCGACGATATAAAAGCGACGAAGAGGGATACGGCGTTCGCTCTCACGGCATCCCACGCTACTTCGTTTTCCAAACGCCGCGGCCGCCGTAACACACGTCGCACGTCCGGCCAATCGTCTCCACCTCGGCCGTGTCAATATAATATTGCGCGTCTGTGAAAATGTGAACGTGGAGGAGGAGATATTCGGTGTCGAGCTACGTGCCGATCGCGACACTTAATTACTTCAGACCGGGAGCGATGTGTGTCCCGGGGCGAGGCACAAATGAAACCGTGAGCCAATCAACGAAAACCGCCGGCGATTTATGAGAAATTAATCCGACTATCGCTCCGCCGAGCTGAAACTGGAGGCAGCGGCAGCTGCCTTGGCTTTGAATCAATGAAACGTGTGAAGCGCTCTCTCGCGCGTCCATAGAAAGTTAACGGGATACTCCTCGCCCTCTCCTCCTCCGTCCTGCACTCCGCGACGATTCAAAATAATATAATTAAACAAGGTCAACGTCGGTCGGCGTTTATTGACGCGACACGCCGCCAGGCGTTGGACAATGCCATTCTTGAAACTTTACCGCGCGCGCGCGCGCGTTTATTCACGCGAACAAGAGTATTCCGAATGATATAATTCTCTCTTATGAGCACACGCGCGCCGAACGATTTGTACCGCTGCTTCCCTGAATGGGCCGTTGAGTAACAAATGTTGCGAGTTCCGCGCCTCTCCCGGTGAATGGCTCGTGCCGCGAATAATGAGTTAAATAGAGCGGGACACACAGAATGTGTTCACGCGCGCGCGCGCGCGCGCACGCGCAGCGAATCGATCGAGCCGCGACACGAGAAAATATAACAAATTTATGATAGTTACACACACCTGCGCACGCGAGCGCGATTATATAGATTCGCCCACTCGGGATTGATCTCGACGTCATGATTTTGCGGAGAGGATTCCTCGGATGAGCGAAGTGCTTCTTTCGCCGCGCGGCAACAATCGCCGATTATCGGGGCCCGCGATCGCGTCGATCACTTTGATCGCGCGTGAAACGCTAATTCGGACGTCCGAGTCCCCATCGCTCTCCTTCGACCTTCGCTCTCCACCGCCACTATGGATTTTACGCCCTTCGCGCCACCGACACGTTACGGAGGGACTGCGGAGAGATTTATATTTGCATTTAAAATCCGGGCGATGCGCCACATCTGTCAAACGATGCATATTGAAATCTCGCGTGTGGTAGCAACACACACAGAAAGAGAGAAGGAGGGAGAGAGAGAGAGGGAGGGGGCACGAGAGAGAGAGAGAGAGAGAGAGAGAGAGAGAGAGAGAGAAAGAGCGGTTCACCGCTCGACCGCCTGTCCGCCGGCGCTTCTCCGCGCGTTGTTTCTCCAAAATTTCAGCCCCTCTCGGCCCGCCGCTCCTACAACCCCCGTGCCACGCCTACGTGCCTGTCCCTGGCTCTGCAAAACTCGTATACGCTCGGACGACGATTCGCCAGCGTGCCGCGCGCGCGACTCTTCGCCGAGAGAACCGTTGAGTGAGCGCCGGCTGCAAAAACAGCGCGAATCGTCGCTGGCAAATTTACCGTGCGTGTTTTATAGGTGCTATTTGCACACACGCACGCACACACACACGCGCACACGCATACACGGAGAGGACCGAAGCGTGGGAGGATTACAGTGCGAGGGTGGAAAAATGGACGGTGGGGCGGTGATGGTCGCAGAAAAAACACGGAGACCCGTTATCGTATAATCTACGTGTGTACGTAGACGCGGCACGTATAGAAACGCGCCGGCCGTGATACGCGAGGCGGCGGGGGGGAGGGAGGGAGGAGGAGGAGGACCGAGCAGAAAGCGATCGCATCAGCTCTCGCGAAGGTCCGCCGAATTTCACCGTGTGTGTGTGTGTGTTTCCTTTTTACACGTATCCCTTGTCTTTCGTTCTCCCTCCCCCCTCCCCCTCGTCACGGTATATTCCGCATGAGGCACGAAGATCGCGCGGAATTTTTAATCAAGCTGTACGCGGTACGAAAATCGGCTCCGCGCCTCCGAGAGAGAGAGAGAGAGAGAGAGAGAGAGAGAGAGGAGAGGGGAGCGAGAGGAAATAAAGAGGGGGAAAGCTCTCCGAGCAAAAATTGAATCCGCCCGCTGATTGCGAATCGACGTGTGCGCTAACGTACCGCCGGTACTTGCCGTGCGAATAAGCCCGGCCGCTTGATTCGCGCACTCGCGCTGTAAAGCCCATCTGAAATTGAAAGGATTTCCGCGCGATGGAGGCGACGGTCGGTCGCATGGCCGGAATTTGTAACGCGCGCGGCGCAGAGGCTCGGCGGCGGGCGAGAGAAATTACGAACTCGGACGTTTGCGACTGTCCTCGGCGGGATGCCACATCTTACGCGAGCGACCGGCCTGAGGCCGCTTCCCTTGCGGCCGCCTTGTCACAAGGTTTTTGCACGAGCGATTAAACAGCGAAACGGGCGACACGTGATACTCTCGCTCCGCTAATACCGCTGTACTGTCCGCCTTTTGTCCACTTCCGGGCGCCGCTAATGCTTCCGGCGCGCGGCGACGAGAACGCTCACCTGATGATGAGCTGGTGCACCCGGGACCACTGACCTCGCAACCTCAGGATCCTCAGCGTGCCGATGAGCGATGGCTTATGCGACGGGAAGATCTCCATAGCTCTGGAGTAGTAGCGCAGCGAGGGCAGCCATTTGCCTGAAAAAGCGCGAGGCAGCTTCGCTGAGCGACAGCAAATTTGCGGCCGCGGCTGCGAGAGAGCCATCTTTCTACCCAAGACGCTCCATCTGTCGTGACCCATCCGTCAGTTTACTTCGCGACTCCGCGGACTCACCATTCTCGTACAACCAGTGTGCGTACTCGGCGAGGACGTCCGGGTTGCGCGGCTGCAGGTGGATCACGTGTCTCAGCAGCTCGCCCGTTGCCGGCCCGGTCGCGATCCTTGCCAGGACTATGAACGCCGGCGCGTACGCGGGGTCCAACGACACGCATCTCTTCAGCATCTCGATGCACTGCTCGGTCCTGTTTGTCCTCCTGCAAACAGAAGATCCGATCTGCGAATGTGCTACCGCGACAACCCGAGTAGAAAAATTAATAGGGCTCTGGTAAGGGCCTGATTATTTTTCCCTAAGATCAATCGGGCCCTACTAAGGACTGAAAGACAAGGGCTTTACAAGATGTGTAACAAATGGTTTTACGAGTCCTCATAAAGCAATATTATGAAGGCTTTATGAGGCGATATCAACAAGACCTTATAAGGCAATATTAATAGGACCTTGTAAGGAATTATTTTTATTATTGCTTGAATAAAAATATTCGTTCTTTTCATTCCAAGAAATTTAGACTGTAATTTCTTTATTTTTTTATAACCTCGTTAGTAGTATACAAGAATTTTTTATTTTAAAGATGTAGTAGCATACTTTACAATAAAATATAGCATTCTTTACACATAAAAATTCTGTTACTGGTTTTATTAAAGTTTGCTGCACTTCAAAATGAAGGTAATTCTTGGAAGAAACTAATAAATATGACAACTAATGAAACTAATAAAATTTGTTTTTAATTACGGTATAACTAAAAAATCTTTAAACTATGACAATTTTATTACACGCTGCAGATCTTATTAATTTTCTGTAACAAAACTTAATTTTGTATATCTAAAGCATCCTTAAAAGATCCTTCTAAGGCCCGCATCAGTTTTCCATGTTAAAGCGTTATTTCGTTATTAAAATCTAAGGCATCGCTAACAAATCGTTCTAAAATCCTTCTCAGCTTTCCCTATCAAAGCCTTATTTATTAAATCTAAGGCATCCCTAATAAATCCTTCTAAGGCCCTTCTCTTAGCTTTTCCTTATCAAATTTGGTAAAATCCAAGATATCCCTAAAAGACCCATCTCGGGGCCTGATGTGGTAATAATGAGGCATCCCTTTTTAGGGCATCCTACTTTCAGCCTTATCCGGGCCTTGTGCTTCGTGAGGATGGCTCTGACAATTTTTTACTCGGGGACCGGCAAGTGACGGTTTCCCGTCTCGGCTTTGATCTCGCGACTTGGCGACGTTCTGGTTAAACCTGGTGTTTGACGTGAAGTGTCGCGCGATTCGCGCTGCATTTGAAACATACCCGCACATCGCGCGTGTGTCGTGCATACATTCGCAGCTTACAACGTATTTTATATAAATAATGGCTGCCATCATTAGAAAGATCCAATCAAATGCAATCAACGACCAGCGTAACGTAATTGGAGGAATGTCATTCATTATTCTTAACCGGCAGCGCGCGTGCAACTCCTAATTAGCATTAATTGTAAATTCAATACATATCGTCCAAGCAATATTGTTTAATGACTCACCGTCCGACGCGCGGAAAACCAATAGCGTCCTCCCGCTAAAATAATATCGCTGGCAATTTGTTTGGCTTACTCTAATGTCCAAATAAATACGTCGGAAATGCAACGGTGCTGCGCGCGGACTGGCCGATAGGCACGACGTTTTAAAGGCTTGCCCGACGCACGCGTGTTAAAAAGAGCGACGGGCAAGTTGCCGCGCGGTAAATTCGGCGTCCCCGTGCAAATTGAACGGCAATTTCGCGAACGCGTCCGGTTGAATTATAGCCGCGCGCTTTCATGTAATCAACTTTGCGCCCGACAAAAGAGCCGGTAATTGCCGGAGAATGGCGACGCCAATAATACCGATCGACAATGCCGTTTTTACTATTTACTCCCGTAGCATGGCCGACGCTTTTTACCAATATCGCCGGCCATTGGTGTTCCGAGGGAGGAAATACTAGCCGATGGAAGCGCATTTAGATAGACATCTGTCCACGTGGAGAGTCCGCATCGCGAATCAACCGAAGGTATTTTTCACCGGCGGCTTCGTCGACGATTCGTCGATATTTTGCAAGTATCGTTCGATAATTTTAATGCCCTCGAGAAGCTCTCGGCGAACGAATCATGAAAGTTTAAGCCGGCACAACGCGCAGAAGCGATAAGAACAAGAAAAAACGACGATGGACTGCTTCGGGCTTCTTTGAAAGAGGCAAAAAAAACACAGCACGTGGTCACAAAATAGAAAGATTGCACAATGTGGTGGAACTAATAGACGACAGTACACGTTACACACTGTCGCCACTGCTTCTCAATCTCCGAGTCGCGAGCCAACTTTCGATCGTGAGGTACTTCTCTGACGGATCGCGTAAAATGACGTATCGACGCGCGTAATGTACCGCGCGCCAAGTTCAATTTAGCGGATATGTACCTTGAGAGACGTAGACTCCCGCGTTGATAATTCTTTTTTTCTAATTTTTTATACGTTTGTGGTTATTCATCTTCCATCTGGCGCATGTTATCTCACTCGGCGAATGTGCCTCGAGATATTAAAGACGCGGACGAGCGAATATCGCGGCGTCACATATTTCTCTATACGATGCAGCGTGGAGTTACACTCGAGAAATCTCAGTCGATAAATCAAAAGAAGCACGCGCGATTTGAGAGCGCTGTCCAATTGTCATACGTCTCTCCGCAGCCTCGCGCGACAATAATGTGAGCATACGTCGGCGATGATAACGCGAGACTCCATAATCGAAACAGAAACAAAGGCGTGCGTCATGGTCTATGCGCGCAAATGCAGTCATTCTATTTCAAAGAGAGTCGCCTTATTACATCGCGCGCGGGTTTCTCATGCATACATACATACATGTGTGTGTGTGTGTGTGTGTGTGTGTGTGTGCGTACATATGTAGCGTCACTTTCCACCTATTATACTCTACTCGAGCCACTGCGTAATTCATTCTGTGTACACGCACAAGGATTTTGTAAAATCAACTGTACAATAAATACACACTCTGCTACGTCGAAAATTATGTTGCGAGAATAAACGAGAATCAACTGTCCAGACAGTTGATGTTTGAACAGTAAACGTTTTACCGTTTCGATCGGATATCGCGTAGGAATAAATTTATTCCTTCTTGTCAAATGTTGCGCACAATATTTTTCGTGGGAAAGTAAAAACAATTCCAGACATCATTTTGTGACCTGGTTATTTATATATCGACGTCATAGAACACACACACACACACGCAAATGCGCGCGCGCAAATGGAATTTGTTAAAAATATATCTAATGAAATGTCACATAAAATTTCGCACAAAATACACGTAGTTTTCAAGTAAACATTTTCGATAGAAAGAGAGAGAGAGAGAGAGAGAGAGAGAGAGAGAGAGAGAGAGAGAGAGAGAGAGAGAGAGAGAGAGAAACAAGGAAACCGAAATGCGTTTATTTTCGCGGACGCACGCACGATGAGCGGAAAATTGTTATGCTTACGCAACCGCCGGCCATGCGTGTGTACGTGTTCCACTTCTATCCTTAATTAAACTTTAATTTATCAAGTAGGAGGCGTTAATTAAACTTTAATTTTAACCATGCCACACTGGAATTACAGTCCACGCTAAATTTACCGTCGGAAATGCGGCTCGCGCCGGGTCGATAACCCCGATGATAAAATGGCGAAGCCAGAGAATGGGGGGATATTTTTATCACGTGGGAGCGACCAACGGTTCCTAATAATTAATTGATATAATGCGATTCAATGAGTCACGCCGACGCGACGCGACCGCCGGGGTGGCCCAATTGATTAATTATATTAGTAATTGATAAACCTGCCGCGTACACACGGAGTAGCGGAGTGGCGTGATACATTCGCGGCGCACCAATACTCGGCCCGAAGATGTTTGTTCATCCGACTGACCTGTACAATCGTCCGAGGTTGTAGTGAGCGTTCACGTGGCCTGGTTGAGCGTGAATAGCCGCTAGAAAATGATACTCCGCTTGATCGTCTATCGTGAGAGTCCCAAGATTGTTGTGCGCGCTGGCGTAGCCCGGCCAAAGCCTGCAACAAACAGAGTCGGCTACTTTTAACAGTCGACCTCTCGTTACTCTTGCGCGGACGCACCGCTCTCAATCTCGCCTTGGGGCGCGTCAGCGATTTTCGCTAGCGCGGAACAGGCAAGTTTCGCCTCAAAATTTATTGATTACACCTTCCGGGGATGGATTTTACCCTCGTCAGGATGCGACGTGTCCCCTTTATTCGAGATATTAAAAGCGCAAACTCACAAATATCGCGCTACCTCGCACATATTTCTTCATATACGATACAACGTCAGATGATATTATTCGAGAAATTTCAGCCGATAAGTCGGATGAGACCCGCGCGCGATTTCAGAGCGCTGTCCAATTTTCTTTGTGCTTTGCGTCACGATAATAACGGCGTACGTCACATAAATAAAGTGTCGGGAATATTAAGGGTCGCGAGAGATCTCGCGCGTCAACCCCGTACGCGGGGGCGGTGTGAAATTACCTGAATGAATCATAGGCCGCGCGCACAATTGGGGGAGCCGAGGGGAAAGAATAGGAAGAAGAGGAGAGTGAGTTCGGCTCAACAGGACGCGAAAAGAAACAAAAGGACGGATCGAACAGGCCGCGCGAACGAAGGCTCTACAAGCGAGATAATGGATCGGAATTACCCCGGGCCGAATCCATTAGCCTTTGATGGCGCTCGTCATTCCAGGGGAATAGTATTTCCGTCTACGAATCGCGACCGATTGCGCTTCCAGAACGTTTGCTGGACACGCTTCTCGGCGAATAATCGAGCGTCGCTTCTCACTTACCATACTCGCTAGAAAGTCGAGTCGTGTGTGCGACGGGATATAAGCGACCAGATCGCATCGATGATTAATCCTCAGCGATAATCCGCTCTTTTAATCGGCGGGAAATCGGCGGGGAAAAATGTACAAGAATTCGCCGGCGGGATAAATACACCGCGGGAAGGCGCCGGCATGTTTAAACGTACGGCTACTTGTTTTCAGATTGCTTTCCGATATCCGCCGTTAAAATATATGGCTTCGCTTTCGGGGTATCTCGTCCACATGCGAGCACATCGAGTGTGTACCCAACGCGCATCGAATATTGCCCGTAAGATATTCCAACAGTGAGACATCAAATGAAACCGATCGAATCGGCCGGGGAAAACTAGAAATTGGACGTATCACGTAGCGAGAGAGGCGACCTTGGCTCGACGTCCACACGTGCAGCTATATCGGGGAGAATATTACAGGAAGGAGATATCCACTAGCAAAATCCAAGGCTGGTTGTTTCCTAGTGGCATAACAGCTCGGCAGGGGTTGCTTCCGAGAGGGCTCAATAAGAGACCATCGAGGGCGAAGAAAAATACGGAGATAGGATTCGTGTAAGAGTTACGCGGCGGAATGAGGAAAGCGGATAAAGGTCCGAGAGGAAATCCAACACAGCGCGCTGCTCCGACGTAGCGCGAGGAAAAAAAGACAAAGATAATCCGGCGCGTTCCCCGTGCTGGAATATACGGTAATATATTTGTGTACGCGTCTCCGTATTATTCCCGACGAAAGTCTATTTCCATATAAGCGCATCTCCGGATAACGGGCGCCATTGTTGTCCCGCCACGTTGTTTCGCGCGATAGAACAGGTCCTGTACGAACAAAGAGGAAAGAAACTGCCGAGGGAACGCAACCAACCGAGCGCGCTCGTAATAACGTTCGTAACGAATGTATTAGAATGTCGCGAGTTTAAGCGCGCTAAAACGCCGGCCAATTACAACGCCGGCGAAACTTGCCGTTTTTTCTCGCCCCGCGAAATTCCGCGAAATAGCGCGCGCGCGCGCGCGCGCGGCGATAAAATCCGACGCTCGCGGATAAAGCGGGCAGCATTTTTCGTCGCGGCGCGGCGCAGCGCGGGATCCGTCGCGCAGGATTCTCCCTCTCTGCTCGCGTCATGGATAGTTATCAAATTCTTCGGAATTCCGGCCGCCGTCTTAAGATGCAGACATGCCTCGTACCTTGGCTTCCTCGCCTGCAGGAAAGAGGATTGCGCGGAAGGTATGCGCTGCTTCCGCGAGGATCGAGGATAAGTCACAATCCGTGAAAACGCTAAGAGTGTGCGTGGCGTGCGCGCGCGAACCCGGGGGGGGGGGGAGGACGAGAATACAAGGCAATGGAGGAGGGCGACGAGAAAGTCTATCCGAGTAGTAGCGAGCTTGCGTGTCTTCTTCCTCGAGGAAAATTCGGTCGTGGATCGCGATGGATTCGGAAGTTGCTGGAAACTCGAGCCCGGCTCTGGAAGAGCATTGTCCTGTCGAATGCGACGGGAATTCTTTTGTAAAGAATCGACGGAAGTCGCCGTTTAGCCGAGGCAAGCACCGGTGCGGGAAATCTGAGTTGTTTGAAAGGCGCCTTAATCGGTTCAATTAAGAATCGAGAAGGTCTCGCGACAAGATGCTGGAGTCGCTTCTGCAGGTGATCTGCATGTCCTTGGAGCGGAAGCCTCGAATGCGACGAACGTCGCAGCCATTATTTTGCCTTGAACGCGAGAATCGCTCTCCTCTCTCTCTCTCTCTCTCTCCCTCCCTCTCTCTCCCTCTCTCCTTCACGCTCGATGACTTTCTTTTAAATTTCAGATTATGTAAATACAGTCCGAGTCTCGCAGGTTAATTACTTCGTTACTCCATCTTGGCCGAGGTGCGCGAGTCCCTCGTTCAGGGCTAATCGCCGAGGGTTGTCCGCTCCACAAGATCGGCTGGAAATATCGTTCACTATTTACTGCGCCCATGATTCTCTCTTTGAGAGCGTGTCTCAATTATCTTCGCTATAATTATCTTCGCGGATCGAGCAAAGACCGCCGTCGCGCTCTTTCCGGTCAATTTCTGAGACTACGCTCAAGATGCGTCGCACGTTTCCAAGGATAACTCGGGATCGAGTTAAGGGAAAATCAATCAGCCGTTTCGTAAACTTCGTTAAAAGTTGCCGCATGTGTGTGCGCGCACGCGCGCGTCCTCGCACCTTGACAACTGCAGCCCGAAGAAGGAAGAGGAGGAGGAAAAGAAGAGAAAGACGAGGAAGAGGAGAAAAAGAAGAAGAGGGTTGCGACGAGGAAGATACTCGGCCGAGACGAAGTCTCGCGTGGCTTCTGCGTCTTTTTTCGACGGGCGAGAGACCGCGCGCGTGGTTAAATTGTCGCGTCTTTCATACTTGGCGGCAGTGCGCTTGATAATCTCGGATTTTCATAATATCTCATAATCTCTACATAGGCCATATCGACGCGCTTCGTTGCCCGGTCCCGACGTAAACATACTCGCCGCTGCGTGCAAAACAATCAGTCGCCCGACCTCCATAAAGCTATGCAAAGTTTTAATGAAGGCCGCTTTGTCGAATGCTCTAACGGCGCAACAATTTTTCATTCGGTCGAAGCGCGATTTCGAGCATGCAGACTTGACCGAACCGAATGTTAATCCTCACGCGTGAATTGCGTTAAAATGAACGAGCTACCAATGAGAAAGAAAAGCAGCAGAGACAAGCCCGAGTAGAAAAATTAATAGGGCTCTGATAAGGGCTTGTTTTTCCCTGACATAATCCCTAGTATGGATAGAAAGATAAAAGCTCTACAAGATGTGTAAGAAATGGGTTCAACGCGTCCTTATAAGGCAATATTAATAGGGCCTTATAAGGGAATATTTTTATTATTGCTGCAGTAAAAATATTCGTTCTTTTCATTCCAAGAAATTTAGACTATAATTTATTTATTCCTTTATAACCTTGTTATGAGTGTTGAGTATACAACAAGAATTTTTTTATTTAAAAAAATATAGCATTCTTTACACATAAAAATCCTGCTACTGTTTTTATTAAAATTTGCTGCATTTCAAAACGAAGGCAATATTAGAAAAATCCTTAGAAGAGACTAATGGCAATTAAATTAATAAAATTAATAAAATTTGTTTTTAATTGCGATATGATTAAAAAACCTTTAAAAAAACCGGGTACAGCGTACCTACTAAAACACTACTAAACCATGACAATTTTACTACACTCTTCAGATCTTATTAATTTTCTATAACAAAACTTGATTTTGTATATCTAAAGCGTCCTCTTAAAAGATCCTTCTATGACCCACATCAGTTTACCATGTTAAAGCGTTATTAATTCGTAAAAGCAGGCATCCCTAATAAATCCTTCCAAGGCCCTCGTCAGTTTTCCTCTATCAAAGCCTTATTTCGTAAAATCTAAAGTATCCCTAAAAGATCCATTTCAGGGCCTGACATAGTAATAATGAGGCATCCGTTTTTAGAGAATCTTCAGCCTTATCGAGGCCTTATGCCTCATGATAGGCCTTACAATACCTCACAATATTTCGCTCGGGAGGTCACGCGAGACGCGTTCATTCCTCGCCATCGCAGAGAAAGTCCAAGTTCAGTTTTACCGAAGCAATTTGACAATCCGCTTCGTTTTCTGTTCGGCGTCAGCAGAGTGTAACTCGGGCATGTAAATATTCTGCTGTACGATTCGCTGAGTGTGCAAGATCTGTGCAAAGATCGAGAGTCGAGAGACCTAACTGGCACGCGTGTCAGAACGCTTCCCGTAGCCGCCGGCCGTAACCGTTGTCTCCCTCTTTTTTTCCTCCGAGTCGTGCGACGAGCGGGATATGTGCTGTCGAAAACTCGCGTAAAAGATGGAACGGCGTGCAGCGGTCTCCGGAGAGGGACGCGGAGAAACCTCGATATTTACACGTCAGGGCTTGCCATCCCCGTAAAGTACCCAGCAGGGTGCCGCGTGCCAGGAGTGTCTCTTTATTGGATAATAAATAACCTGTTTCATTTATAAGAAGGAGATAAAGTGTGGTAGACTATGCTCCCCAGATAGATCCTTCCACGCCGACCCCTTTCCCGTGCAGCATCATTCCCCGGAAGTTGAAATTGCCAAGCATGCGAACTGTATCGCATTCCTCCGCTATTTATTTAATATGTTTAACTGGGGTAGCGCGTGTCGGCGGGGTCTTCGTGCAACCGTAAAATTCTTCACGATC